ACAGATTTTTTATGTGAAATGTGGGTTGTTTCCTATTCATTAAAAGTCCATTTGCTATAGTTTTTATTGGTATTATATTCTTAGTTTTGAATAGTAACGGTCTTGTTTATTGTTACTTTTGTAAATAAACGGAAACGTTCATGCGACTCTTAAAAACGTTAAATCGCTAAAAACCTCAAAAGTCATACAAAAAAAATCTTAAATTTTGTGGTTTAAAAAATCAATAAGTTATCAGCTAATAATAATATAACGATAAGTTTGTTATTTTTTAACTGATCATGTTTAGCTCTTACTTATGGAGTTTGTTTTGTTTTCATTTTACATTTAAATAAAAATGTTGAACTGCCTATTGTTGACAAAATAACTCAATTATTAAAATAATATTTTAGTAAAATGTTTGAAATTTTTAATTTTTAGTTATCAAAAACGTTTTTATTTAGTATTTAAATTTTTTGTTCTTATGAATAAAAAATGAATGACTTATTTAAAAAACTGTTCTTTTAAAAAAGTTATTTTAAAAGAACTTTGCTTTAGACTCCAAAATCAGTTACTGTCGAAATCAAGTGTGGTAGTCAATACTATTAGTATTGACTACCAAGGTATTAGTATTAATTTAGACCTAAATAAAGGTAAACCATCAACATTTACATCAATAAGTATTGTTTCATTTATAAAAACTAAATAATCTTTGTTTGATGCAGAAACAGCTTTTAGTATATTAGTTTCAAGACCAAAGTAATAGTATTACTATTAGACATTAAATATAAAAAAAGGTTGAATGTTTCTTTTTAAGCAAATATTCTTTTGTAATCAGAGAACATCCTTGTAGTGTAGTCAAAAGAGTCTTTTAATGTAAAAAAAGTCTCTTTCGACTACAATTTTAATTACCTCGTCTCTTAAGCTGTATTTGATTGTAGTCGAAATGTCAAAGCAATTAAATTAATGCGGAAGTACATTAAATTTTATTGTTTCTTAAAAATTTTTTAATAATAACGAATAATAACGAATAATAACGGAAATAATAACGACTAGAAAGTTTTTTTTAATTAGTGGTGTTTTTGTTTTATTAAAAAACATTTTTAAAACATGCGAAAATGTTGCTACATTGACTATCTTATAGCCTGACTCGCAACGGAGTGCTGCTACATCGACTGACAAATAGCCTGACTCACAAGGGAGTGCTGCTACATCGACTGACAAATAGCCTGACTCGCAACAGAGTGCTGCTACATCGACTGACAAATAGCCTGACTCGCAAGGGAGTGCTGCTACAACGACTGACAAATAGCCTGACTCGCAAGGGAGTGCTGCTACAACGACTGACAAATAGCCTGACTCGCAAGGGAGTGCTGCTACAACGACTGACAATTAGCCTGACTCGCAAGGGAGTGCTGCTACATCGACTGAGGGTTTGGTTTGGGCAGGCAGTCTATCATAAAAAAAAAAAAAAAAATTAAGTTATTAAACTTTTTCTGGTCTGGTTTATTAACGCGCTCTTTAAAACTGCAGTTTATGGGAAACTCTTTTTGACTACCATGCAAGAGTATATATATATATATATATATATATATATATATATATATATATATATATATATATATATATATATATATATATATATATATATATATATATATATATATATATATATATATATGTATTTTCAAAATGGTCTAAGTAGCACTTGTTTATATACAGAAATTGTAACTGTTTTTTAAACCTGATGATGTCAATTGATATTGATGAAACATGTTCAAAAGTTAAAAAAAGTTATTTTTTATTTATATAATAAATAACAAATAATATATTGTTTTCTATTTCCTAATAACATTTCTGGTAATAAACTAGAAGACATTAAAAAACAATAAACACTCGTTAAAAAAGTAATTACATTACTTTTTCTTTATAAAATTAACATTTTTTAATTATCAGAGTCAGGGAAAAATCAGGGAATTTGATCGTACAAAGTGGCTAGCCACCCTGAATTTTATCAAATGTTTTAATGGAATTTTTGTGTTTGCAGGTGTAATGGCAAAAGTCGGGTTCAAGGACGAAGAACTCGACAAGAAATCCTTGCAGAAGTCTTTGTATAGTGCAATCGACAAGAATACTCATGCTAAGTCGAAACCAAAATAAAAAGACATTATTTATTTTCAGCGTATAACTTTGCAAAAAGTTACATTTATGTTTATTTCTTAATTTCGTGTTTAGATCTTAATTTTTAAGTTTAGTTTAAGTTATTTAAAGAGTACTAAATAATTTCATTAATTAAAAAACAACAAAATTTTGTCTATATAAATTGAAATAAAAAAACTTTTGAACAGTTAAATTTAGTATGACTTTGCACAAGTATGTTTATATTTCCTAATTATTATATTTAGGATTAAGTCTTATAGCATATATATAAAATATGTTAGTTAATTAATATTTTAACTATGTTTTTTATGAAACAATTTTTCAAATGTTTTAAAGTATTATCTAATAAATTGCCTAACAATAAATGATTTTTTTATTATTCATCAAGTTCTGACTACTCCATTTATCTGCATATGTTCACTCCATTCATTAATCTACACCTTTTCAAGATGTAAATGAGAACATAAAAGTTGTAATTAAGAAGTCGTAATATGTAGTTAAGAAACACAACATGTAATTGAGAAAACGTTATATGTAATTGAGAAACACAACATGTAAATAAGAAGTCGTAACATGTAATTAAGAAACACAACATGTAATTGAGAAAACGTAAGATATAATTGAGAAATCATAATATATAATTGAGAAATCGTAACTTGTAATTGAGAACACATAAATTAAAATAGCAAACTCACAGTCTAAGTTTGTAGGTTGTTACAAAAGGTCTTTTTGGACATGAATTTAAGTTATAATCTTATATTTTGCTTTTGTATGCACAAGTAATAATAATGGAATTGAAAGATCGTTGTGTTATATGCCAATACACTATGACCCGAAAGTCTGGGATTAAGCTAAATCCGTGTCAACATTTATGTCACCAAATTTGTCTACGTCCAGTTCTGGAACAACTAGATTCAAGTTGTCCGATTTGTCGGCATGAAATACACACAACTGAACAAGTTGAAAGGAAACGTTACGTTTTATCTTCTCCAAATGACAGGAGAAGAGTTGTTGAATGTGCGGAGCGATTTGAAGATTGGGTGAATCTCGCGCAAACGCTAGGTATCAAATATAAGACAGCATACAATTGGGTTTGCAGCGGAAATTCAAATTTCATCGGAAAAGGAGGTTTTAAACCGAAAAAGTTGACCAAAGATCAAATCGAAGAAACATTAACATGGATTGAAAATGATTGTCAATTAACATTGGTGGCCATCAAAACAAAGATATTAAGACAATTTAACATAAAAGTTAGCAAAACAACAATAGCAAATTACCTCGAAGGCAGATTGTTCTCATTAAAAAAAGTGCACAAGGAGCCTTCTACAATGAACAGTTATAAAAACAAACAAAAAAGAGCTGAATATGTTAGAAACATCAACGAACATATCACAAATGGTCGTCAGATAGTTTGGTTGGATGAAACAAATTTTAACCTTTTTTGTAGAAAAACGCAAGGACACGCGAGACAAGGAAAAAGAGCATTTATAAAAGTACCTGCTTCAAAAGGTTTAAACATACACTTGATCGCAGCTATTTCAACTACAAATGTTGTCGTGATAGAAACTCGCAGGGGATCATTTAAAGCAGATTCCTGTAACGAGTGGATGTTGGCTATGTTTCACCAGTGGGTTACATCCGGGAATCGTTTGGAGGATTTGGTCGTCGTAACAGATAATGCTCCTTGTCACGCTCGTTTGCAAAGGGTGTTTGATAATTCACCAGCTCAGTTGTTACGTTTGGGACCTTACAGTCCAATGTTGAACCCGGTGGAAACGATCTGGTCCAAAATTAAAAGTAACGTTAAAAATGCAATTCGCATTCCACCTGTATTAGGTGACGGGATTGCGGAACAGCGCATGCAGTACTTAGAACGAATTGTAATTGATTTTTAATTATATAATTTTTAATTATAATTTTTAATTAAATTATAAATTTTTCCCTAAAATGTTTTTAGTGTTTATAATGTTAAATTCATTTGCCCAAAAATTATAAATTTTTCCCTAAATTTTTCCCTAAAAAATTAAATTTACGCTACAAATCTTGCGTCATTTTTAAGTGCGTCATTTTATACGCTCCATTTTTTTACGCGCCATTTTACACTTACTCCTTTAAAGCAATATCTAAATTAAAATTTTCGTGTTCTCAAATACATCTTTCTATTTCTTAATTACAACTTACATTTTCTCAATTACATGTTATGATTCTTAATTACAATTTTCGTTTTCTAAATTTTATCTTATGTTTCTTAATTACAACTTACGTTTTCTCAATTACATCTTACGTTTCTTAACTACAACTTTTGTTTTCTCAATTACATCTTACGGTTCTTAATTACAATTTTTGTTTTTTCAATTACATCTTGAAAAGGTGTACATATGTTCCTTGGCTAACTAATATCATTGTTATAAACTCGGCCCCGAGCTCGCCTACGATGTTTAAGCTCGTTTACGATGCTACAACGCTTGTTACGATGTTATTTTATTAACATATATATATATATATATATATATATATATATATATATATATATATATATATATATATATATATATATATATATATATATATATATATATATATATATATATATATATATATATATATATATATATATATATATATATATATATATATATACATCTATATGAAGGGTGCAAGGAATATCAGTTTTTGAAATTATTGAGATTTTTTTATAAACATGTTCTACAAATTATAAGCTACCTTCAGTGTTAAATTTGAAGCAAATAAATAAAATTTAATGGTCTAATTTAGTGATGAGAAAATACCCCTGCTTTGTAAAAACAGAGAATGTTTTAATGTTGCAACCGTAAAACCGGAAATGTCACTAGTTTTGTTGTTTTTATTAGCAAAAATACGGTAAAAGAAAATGGCGGACATCCAGAAGAAACAAAATACCCTAAAAAACGTCAAATAATTGGCAAAAAACGGGATAACATGAAAAAAATGAAACCTTCAAGCCATTTAATGGGCATGTCTTGTAACTGTGTTCGTTTAAAATGTTTTGAAGCTGTTAATTTGCAAGATAGACAAAAGTTTTTAAACAAATTTAATCAAATGACATGTAAAGACCAGCAAGATGCTATGCTGGCATCGATGATATCTCCGATTGAAGTAAAACAATAAAGACCTAGAAAAACAGACGATGAGGGTAATTTACATAACTATTCATATCAGTACAATTTATTATTTGTAAGAGACTCCCTAGTGAAAATTCGAATTTGTTACAATGCATTTCTTTCCATATTTAACATCAGCAAATCAAGACTTGAAAGAATTCAAAAGATTTTAACAACGACTGGTTAGTAGTATTATTTTTTTAAAGCAGTACTTTTTTAAAAAATAATACTTTTTTTAGTCTTATTTATTGACATATAAATGGTCAATAACTAAATTAAATATAAACATATGTCATATGTTTATTTATATTATATACAATGATGTAGGCACATTGTATGAACACACGCTTTCGATTCAAAACATGGTCTTGAGCTTATGGTTTAATATACTATTATTAACCAAAAAGGATTTTTTTGACTATTCCAATTTGGAAACTATTTTAAAAAAAATAGAAATTTGTGTCCTAGTAAACTTAATTATTACATATAATCAGAATCATGTTGTCATATTCATTTTTCATACAGAGTTAAGTTTCCACATATTTTAGGAGTAATATTTTAGACCTTAGCGTTTGGATTTTGTGTAGAACATATTTAATTTATTTTCAGGAATGCTACCCAAGGACCAAAGAGGAAAACATATAAATTGACCTCGCAAATTTACACAAGAGAAAAATAAAAGTATTATAAATCATATTCGATCTTTTAGAGGACAAAAGTCTTATTATTCTCTAAAAGATTCTAGGAAACTGTACCTTCCAGAAGATTTAAATCTTACCAAGATGCATTTAATGTACTTCGAAAGCCATCCTGGTGAATCATGTTCCAGAGAAAGTTACAGGTTTGTTTATTTTGTTTCACTTTCAGTAGATAAAAAGTAAATAACTTATTATATCATTAAAAAGTTATTATTTTATTTAAAATTTTAAAAACTTTTCATTATTCTGGGTGATTTTTTTTGTTATTATGAGTGAAGTTTTACTAGTAATTTTTTTTATAGACAAATCTTTACTGAAAAATTTAACATTGCTTTTGGGTACACAAGGAAAGACACTTGTTCAACATGTGATAGATTTAAAATAGAATTGTCAAAATATAACTCTCAACCCGAACTACAAAAACTTTCATTTGATCGAGAGCTTCACTTGAGAAAAGGACAAGTATTTTATGAAAGAAAGACTGCTTCTATACACGGAGCACGCTCTTTAACCTGGTTTGCTGCAGTTGCCTTTGATTTTTGGAAGAATCTTCTTTGTCCTAATATAACAACCAATGACACATATTATAAAATAAAACTTTCTCTGTACACTTTTAACATTCATAACCTTGGAACTGATGAAGTTTCCCTTTTTTCGTATAATGAGACAGTTGGGAAAAAAGGTTCTAATGATGTAGCATCAATATTGCTGCATTATTTTACTAAAATATTGCCTTCAGAAGTCACTCATCTTCAACACTTCTGTGATTCGTGTCCCGAAAATTGGACTATGCTGAGATTTTTGCACTACATGGTCCACCAGAAAAACAGATTTGAAAATATTAAACTATCTTTTCCCAGCAGAGGACATTCTTATATGGAGTGTGATCGAGATATGATTCTGATAAATCAAAAGCTTCATATAGACTCACCAGCTAGCTGGCTAGAACACTTTAAGAATGCCAGAAAAACCCCTTCTCCTTTTCACATAATTCCAGTAGAATACACCATGTTGCTAAATATAGAAAAACACATTAAATCTTTCTTTGTCACAACTTCCCCGTTTAAAACCCAGACACTTCGAGAAGTTGTAATCTCTAAAAACCATCCAAATAAAATACTTTTTAGAGAGAGCTGGAACGGGCAATTCTCTGATGCTGTTGTCACAAAACCAGTTAAAAAGAGGAAATTGTTGTAGGAGCTCCTTCAGCCTTCAAATAGAGTGCTTATACCTCTTTCCTTATTAAAGTATAATGACTTACAGCATCTCAAACATTTTTGTAAGCAAGACGCACATGAGTTTGATGACTCTCTTCCATATCAAAGGGAGGATCAATCGCCTTCTGTAGATGCCTACTCCGAATTAGATGAAGAAAAGGAAGTTGAATTTTGAAATTTAAACTAGTTTCTAGTCCCTTTTTTGACATTTTGACATTGTATTTCTTTGAATGGATTTTATACATTTGCTTATTATTTATATTATTTTGTTTCTTTTAAATTTGTTGATGTTGACTTGCCTTTTAATACATATACAATGGATTTTTATTTATGCTTGATAAAATAAAAATTATAATTATCCCAGCAGAATAATAAAAATTTTTCTTTTATGCTTGATAAAACAAAAAATTATCATTATCCCAGTGGTATAATGATAATTTTTAACATAAAAATGATAATCAAATAATTTATACAACCGGGCATTTAGTCTGCAAAACACGTATTTTGTACGTTTTAAATAAGATCACCACGTACTAAAGACATTTAAAAAAAAACTTTTTCTGAAACCAAATGGTTGCTGGGATAAAATAAGTAATTGTGAAAAGAAACAAAAGGTTAAATTGTTAAAAGCCAACCTTAGTAAAGAAATACGTTTTGCAACTCAAAAACCGGGAACGTCAATTTTAGATAAAGGTTGCATAATTATATAGCAAACCAACAGTTTTTGCAAAAATTTAAAATTAGCACATTTTTTTTTTTCATTCTAAAGCCAATTTTAAAAAACAAATCTAGGCAAGACTGTTTTTTGTAAAACAAATAGGTAAGGGAAGTCTTTGAAAATTAAATTCGATTTATCTCAGTTTGCGAAAAACTGACATCCCCTGTTCTTCCCTTGCGCCCTTCATATATATAAATATATATTATCTTATATTATACTATTATATTTTATAATAATATTAATATATATATATATATATATATATATATATATATATATATATATATATATATATATATATATATATATATATATATATATGAATGTATATATATATATATGTTATATTCTTAAGAACTATGTATTTGACGCCAATCACGTCATTATAGAGTACGGTTGAATGAACTTAAGTTATTCTAATTATATTCAATTGATGTGTTATAAAATCTGTTTAGTAGATCTTGAATTGTGTTTGATTTAATATTTGATAAAAGCCGAAAATATTTAATATAGACTTATTTATTACGGTTTCACAACAATTTTATCAAATATTTTTTATTTACATTATGGATGCAAAAATATTTAAAAAAGTACTATGCGACGAACCTAACGAAGAAGAGTATATATGCTGGAAAAAAATGCTATCAATTTATTTAGATAAAGCTAACATAGACAAAGATTGCAAACTCCAAGTTTTATTCGTACTATCCGGTGTTAAAGCTTTCACAATAATTCAGGATACTACATCATTTGATGATGCAATCAAAATACTTGATAACAAATACCAAAAACAATCAACACCTATTATTAGTTTATTATGACGCGCCACAAACTTCGCTCTTTTAAGCAACAAGAAGGAGAAAAAGTCGAAAGCTTCATGAGTAGCCTGAAACAATTCGCAAGAGAATGTCTAACAGAACCCCTAACAGCAGAACATCATATTAATTTACAAATTTGCGACGCTTTGTTGCTGGAATTTACTCACCTTCTATTCGACAACGACTCCTCGAAGCTACAGAAGACAATCTCGAGGCACTTTATAAAACAGCGCTAACAATGGAATTAGCCACTGAAGATGCTCCTAATGTAACAACAACCACGACAGCTAATACTACGCTACAAACTTTTGCCGCAAGTTTTAACCATACGAAATCTCATTGTTACTGGTGCGGTAATGATCCACAACCAAAAATTAAATGCCCAGCAAGAAATTCCATCTGCACACATTGTCAACGTAGGGGCCACTGGGCAACTGTATGCCTCTCAAAGAAACAAAATAAGACCTACACCAAAGCAGCAGTTGTTAATGAATATCAGGAAGAAAACGATAACGCAATAGTATCTACGGTTGTAGCAGCAATCAACTCACCTGATGGACTAATTAACGTCACCATTAACAAAAATATAACACAGGCACTGATAGATACTGGCTCCGATAAAACATTTATTACATCAGAACTTCTTCAAGATTGGAATCTTTTCTTACGATAATCAATCTACCTCAAAAATATCATTGGCAGATAATTAAATCGACATTAAAAGATAAAGACTCATTGTTATTAGCTTGCGAAAAATTGAAAGTGCAATTCCTAGTTGTAGACAAGTTGATAGCACCAGTAATTATCGGAATGGACGTGTTAACACAACATACCTCAATTACGATTTTAAAGGAAATAAAGAGCCCTTAAAGTTCTGTCTGGCAACAAAGAGTATGAATTGTACTACTTACGCATTGATACCTGGAGTGGATATTGACAAAATTAAGCCAGTCGCTACAACTACAACAATCACGACGGGTTCCTAAAAATAACTCCTTCATAACAGACGAGATAAACTGTATGTTAAAGCAAGATATAATCCAAGTGAGCCGTAGTCCTTGGCGTGCACAATGTTTAGTAGTTTCATAAGGAAACAAAAATCGTCTTGTGATTAATTATTCAAATACAATCAATCTACACACTCCACTCGATTCATACCCAACACCTCGAATAGACGATTTGATACTTAAGATAGCTGCTCATAAAGTCTTCAGTACAATTGACCTCAAATCGGCTTACCATCAGATAAAAATACGACCTGAAGATTACAAGCTAACCGCATTCGAAGCAAATGGTAGACTATACGAGTTTAAACGTTTACCTTTTGGTTGCACAAATGCTGTACCAATTTTTCAGCGGGTTATGAATGAATTTATTCAAAATAATAAACTAGAAAATACATATGCTTACCTCGTTGATATAATTATTGGTGGAAAAGATGACCAAGAGCACAATAAAAATCTTAGCCGTTTCCTACACGCTGCTCAAACCGCCAACGTAGAAATAAACAAAGAAAAGAGCAAATTTAAAAAAACTCACATCGAATTCTTAGGCCATATTATCAAAAATAGAACCTTAAAACCCAACCCTAAAAGAAATGAAGCTCTTATAAATATGCCAGAACCAAAAACCTTAAAAGAATTAAACCGAATGATAGGTTTATTCGCCTACTACGCTAAATGAATACATAACTGTACCGAGTTTACTCTACCGCTTACCCAAGCAAGAGACAACATTCCAACGAAGGGCTTGACCCCGCAGACAAAAGAAGAAATTAAAAAGCTCAAAATTAAACTTGCAAAAGCTTGTCTAGCCTCCCCGAATTTCAAAGTTCCACTAATTATTGAAACAGATGTCTCTGACACAGCACTGATAGGAACGTTACTCCATCTAGGCAGACCCGTGGCCTCCTTCTCAAGAACACTATCAAACGCTGAAAAAAAAACTCGCAATTGTCGAGAAAGAAGCAGCTGCTATTGTAGAATGCTGTAGAACCTAATTAATTCAGTACCATACATCATTATAATTACAGACCAAAGATCCATTTCCCTTATTTTCAATAAACAGATTTCAACAAAAATTAAAAACGAAAAACTCGATGGCGTTTAGAATTAGCAGATATTAATCATACAATTTCATACAGACCAGGAAATCAAAATATCGTAGCCGATGCCCATTCTCGATGTTGCTCAATTCAAAACACCAATAAAACTTTTTACAATATTCACTCCCATCCTGTTATTACAATATTCACTCCCATATGTCATCCTGGAATTAAAAAAATGATATATTATTGCAAAACCCGAAATCTACATTACTCTACCACTGAAATTAAACAACTAACAAGCCAATGTACAACCTGTAACGAACTCAAACCGCGTTTCTAAAAACTTCCATCTGGTCGTCTTTATCAGGCTACGAGACCTTGGCAACGCTTATCTATGGATTTTGTTGGACCTTTACAACCCACCTCAGCTAATAAATACATCTTCGTGATAGTAGACGAATACTCTCGCTACCCATTTGAAATCCCTTGTAAGGATATAACAGCCAACACCGTCATACAACACCTTCTCAGTCTTTTTTTCATTATTTGGTGCACCATCATCTATGCATACAGATCGAGGAACACAGTTTGAAAATATATCACTTAAGATTTTCCTAGAAAGAAACGGTGTCATCCAAACTCGAACTACTCCATATCACCCACAAGGCAACGGTCAATGTGAAAGAATGAATGGAACAATACTTAAAGCTGTAAGTCTGGCCCTAAAAACATTGAGTCTGGGAAAAGATTGATGGGAGGTAGCATTGAAAATGTCTCTATCCTCTATAAGAGGACTTCTGTGTACTGCTACGAACGAGACACCCCATCAGAGGATGATGAACTTTCAGCGTTCATCAATAATAGGTACAGTTCTACCAAACTTTTTAACAGAGCAGGATTCGACAGTTTTATACACATGTCAGATACGATTAAAGGGAGATCCACTTGTCGACAGAGTTCAACTATTAGAAGCAATACCGCCTCATTTCGCGCGTGTGAAACTTCAAAATGGGAAAATTGATACAGTTTCAACAAAAGAACTTGCTCCACTACAAGATAGAAATCTCTTAATAGAACCAGTCCAATAACAGTCCGAATTCTCAAACAATGACGAAATTGTCATTAGTAACAACAACCATAATTCTGGAAATAGAAAACAAGTTGAATTAAATGATACCAACGAAGTAGTTTCGAACTTACTGCATCCGTTTGGGAATCCAACAAAAGATAGCTTCTCTTATGATCAATCAACTACAACAGTACCTAACCAACCATCTATTCAAAAGGTTATTACTCCTGACACACAACCTAATATAATCTCACGAACAGGACGTACTATTAAAAGGCCAAAGTATCTCGACGATTACTTTCTTTCTTAGAGTATTATCGAAGAGTAAGCCGTACTAAAACTTTCTAAAAACGGAGAAGACTGTTATACTCTTAAAGATTATGTATTTGACGCCAATCATGTCATTATAGAGTACGGTTGAATGAACTTAAGTTATTCTAATTATATTCAATTGATGCGTTATAAAATCTATTTTGTAGATCTTGAATTGTGTTTGATTTAATATTTGATAAAAGCCGAAAATATTTAATATAGACTTATTTATTACGGCTTCACAACATAAACCTTCTTCACTCTATCTTAGCAGTTTTAAAAGGTCGGTTAAATGAAACATTCCTATCGCTTAAAGTCAGAGATATATTAAAAAAGTTTAAAGAAAGTGACAGAGAAAAAGATTATAACTGCTTTGTTGCAGAAATTAAGCTAGTGTTCGAAGCATGCATTCTTTATTTAAAAAAATGGTTGAAATCTTTTGATGAATTTCGGTGCTTTGATTGGATGTTTTTAAATAAAGTAAAAGACAGCATGTTTGATGATCTTTTGGTATGCATTTTATACCCGAAAGAAAAAGGTATCATTTTGGATGATGTACAATTGTTTGACCAATACTGTAATCTAAAATCATTCCTGCAAGGCAAAAATGAGGATTTTTTTGAAAGGCCTCTGCACGAACAGTGGGTTTAATTTTTTAAAGCTTGTCCAAATGCGAATTGCTTTTAAGAGATGCTTAAAATATGTAAAGTATTCTACTGTATCCCTGGACACAACGGAAACGTTGAAAGAGTATTCTCGTTGATAAACGCTCCATGGACAAAAGAAAGGAATAGACTTTTAGTTGACTCTGTAAAAGGCATCGTTCTCACAAAGTATAATTTAAAGAACTTTACCTGTAAACAGTTTTATAAATATATGATTGCTAACGAAGATCTTTTGCATAGAGTTTTTTTTTTTTTTTTTTTTTTATTTTAATTCACCTCATCAAGGCCGAGAAGGCCACTACAGACGAGGAGGCTACTTATTTGTGGCTATAACCCTCTCTCAACTCTTTAACTCCGAAACACGAACCCTGACGAACAAGGCCGCTGCGCGGAGAAACGAGTTGAGCGCGGTACTACCAGAGACGTGGTGGGGATCGAACTCGGAACCACTCGTTTATGAAGTGAGCGCTTTACCACTACACCACTACCGCATAGTTGGCTCCTCCGAGTAATATGCTATTTGACAAACATCTTATTCTAAATAATATAATATATTAAAACTCCGTATACCTGAACGTTGCATTTTTTTTTTTAATTGAAAAGTTTTTATTGCAATTGTAATTTTGAGAAAGTTACCTAAATTTGCAACAACTTAATTAAATAAGAGCGTAGAAAAAAAAACGTTTAAGATAATTTAAAATTTCGTTATGCTTTTTATTGTTCTTGCGACAATTTTGATATTTTTTTTCGTTTTTATTATTATTAAGTAATAGTTTATAATACCTTCAACTTACCCTTTTGTGTACTATAACTTATATTGTTCTTATATAATATACTTTGTTGTTTATTTTCATCCGGTGTCAGTACCGTGGCTAGAAAATCTGAGTCTTCCCCCCCTCCCCCTTTACCTTCAAAAAATAAGCTATTAGCGCCAAAAATCTTAAATGCCTGCAGAAAGTGGCGAAAGTACAGTGGCGGATTTAGTATAGGGCCTGCAAAAAGTATCCAGTGGCGGATTAAGTATAGGAACTGCCCTATACTAAATCCAACACTGGATACTTTCTAATTTAATTCAATCAATTTAAAACAAAGACTCTAAAAACATAAGTTACATTTAAAAAATGACATGCTATAAACACAAATGTATGATAAAAAAATGTTTTTGATAATATTTAAATTAAGCCCGAAAAATTAATTTTAAATAGTAATCTTTATAATATTGATTAATTTCTGCCTTCACAAATTGCACAAAGACATTAATTTTGCCTACAACTATGCCATGTCGGGTCCATAGAAGTTTGTAACACTACACTTGGTAACAACCATTTGTAACATACATTGAGTGTAATAAGTGTAGTTAGTTTTAAGTATTTTATCAACATCCTTTTTTTCTAAATATGGTAAATTTAATTTTGTTGGCGTAGTAAAATTAATTTTGTAAGGGCATTTCATCTCAATAAGAGCTTTAGAACAGCAATTTGTAATAAAATATTACATCTTTCGAGTCATTGCACTTAGTAGTGTATCAAGTACGTCGGAAACATTAATTATAAACAATATAATAAAAACGCAACGAGATTCATAAAAAATTTTTTCTACTAACATACTATAAATGAAGTTAGCATAAAATGGTAATATATTTTAAATTCATATTTATAAAATTTTGATTGTAATGTATTGCGTGACGATACTAAAAAGAATGTTACACATAAGGGATATAAAACTTTAGGTAATAAAAATACCAGTCGTTTGTAATAATTTCAGAAGCCTGCATAACTTATGCTTATGCACACATCCCCCTTATCCCATAAGGGGGATGTGATATTTTAAGTAAGAATTCCAGTTTCTTTTTGTAATATATACAGTAAATAAATCGAGGGGATGTGATATTCTAGATACCAAATACTAATCGATTGAAGTATTATATGAATTACTTAAATGGATGTAATATTTTAGAAGTATGCATAAGGGGGATGTGATATTATAAGTAAGAATTCCAGTTTCTTTTTGTGACATATACAGTGAATAAACCGAGGTGATGTGATATTCAAGATACCAAATACTAATCGTTTAATATACTTTATAAATTGCTTAGGGGGACGTAATATTTTAGAAGTATCCATAGGGGGGATGTAATATTTTAAGTGAGAATTCCAGTTTCTTTTTGTGACATATACAGTGAATAAACCGAGGGGATGTGATATTCTAGTTACCAAATACTAATCGATTGAAGTATTATATGAATTACTTAGGCGGATGTTATATTTTAGAAGTATGCATAAGGGAGATGTGATATTTTAAGTAAGAATTCCAGTTTCTTTTTGTGACATACACAGTGAATAAACCGAGGGGATGTGATATTCTATATACCAAATACTAATAGATTTAAATACTTTATAAATTGCTTAGGGGGATGTAATATTTTAGAAGTATGCATAGGGGAGATGTGATATTTTAAGTAAGATATCCAATTTCTTTTTGTTTCATATACAGTGAATAAACCGAGGGGATGTGATATTCTAGATACCAAATACTAATCGAATGAAGTATTATATGAATTACTTAGGGGGATGTAATATTTTGGAAGTATGCATAGGGGAGATGTGATATTTTAAGTAAGATATCCAGTTTCTTTTTGTGACATATACAGTGAATAAACCGAGGGGATGTGATATTCTAGATACCAAATACTAATTGGTTAAAGTATTATATAAATTACTTAGGGGGATGTAATATTTTTGAAGTAAACATAGGGGTGATGTGATATTTTAAGTTGGTTTTTTGCTTGTTTTATGTGATATATATAGAGCTTTCACTGGGGGGTTGTGTTACTCTAATAAGAAAATTTAAATGTTGTGCAAAATGGTATTAATTATTTTGGGGAGTATTCTCGAAGCCTGCATTAGGAGATTGATATTTTAATTTAGAATTTAGCTATTATTTGCAAAATATGCAGAGATTACTCAAACAGTCTTTTTTCATTTTTTTTTAGATTTAATTGAGCTTACAAATTAAAAATGTATTGTTGTTCAATCAATGTATGGCTTTCGACAACTTAAAGTATTATAACTATACAAGAAGTCGCTGAAACTAAGAAAAAAAAAGTCACCTATTTGTGTTTTTATCTCTTAGTGCATAAACATTTAAATTGGTTCAATTTACGGAGAATTTTGAAGAAAAAGAAATAGCTGCAGTTTCTTTGAAGAAAAAGAAATAGCTGCAGTAAAGTTTCATTTATTGTTACATTTATATATAAATATTTTCACAACAAAATAAAGTTTTATTTCTAAAAACAATGCATCCCATAAGATACCATCTATTCGAAATGCAAATATCACATTTTATCTAAAAATAAATATTTAATGTACATTTTTCTATTTGAATATTTAAAGTATTTTTTTCTATTTGAAATTTCTATTAAAAAATAATTAAAATATATTTTGTTACCCATTTTTCTTTTTTTTAATTTTTTCTAGTTTTTGGACCAATTTCACAATTTCGACACAAACAAATTTGAGCTATTGATTTACTTTTGCATCATTTTTTTTGGTCTTTATTTTAAGATGTCATTTAACATTGAATTAATTTCAGTGCTCTAAAGAATCTCACAAACCTTTATCTAATAGAAGATGTACCACTCTCTTTCCGTATGCATTCACTTCTTCATGTGGAAAGACACGCATCAATTCTTCTCCATTTATATAATTTTTAGCAAACTAAAATATTGAAGCTCATATATATATATATATATATATATATATATATATATATATATATATATATATATATATATATATATATATATATATATATATATATATATATATATATATATATATATATATATATATATATATATATATATATATATTATATATATATATATATATATATATATAAATATATATATATATACATATATATAAACATATATATAATATAGACCTCGGCGAAAATTAATGAGTACGAGAGCGGAGAAAAGCTCTCCTAAAACGAACTTAGGGAGCTGTGCGAGCTGCTTCTCACTTTTTTTTAATTATAAATATTTTTTGCAACAACCGTGCCTTTTAAAAAGCTTTTCAGTATATAATGCAATTAATTCTTTTTAAACAACATTGTGTTTTTTATTTTATTTAAAATGATAATTATACTTTTTTGAGAAAAATAATACTTTTGCGAGAGCCGTAAATAGCTCTCGTAAACCGTTTCAGGAGAGTATGAGCGAGAGCGAGAGCTAAAGCTCCCGCCAATGCTTATATATATATATATATATATATATATATATATATATATATATATATATATATATATATATATATATATTCACTACAGTTAAGAGTCTTAAAGTTACTTTAAGGCAGAATACTCCACATGATATACCATCAGCTTGTATAGCATGTATGGCATGTATAGCTTGTACAGTTTGTATAGCTTGTATAGCATGTGGTAACGTTAAGATTTTAAACTTTTCTGAAACACCATATCTCTGTTGTAAGTAGCAACTATAGCATGTTAGTAAAAAAATTATAAAAGATGTAAATACAAATTTTGAAATAGGAATATCTAATAATAATATCATACTTCCATTTCACTTCTTCTTTTTTAATGGAGTTCATCTGTTCTCCCATAGGGTCTATATAGTGAATTTTTCTATCACCTGGTTTGATTATCTAAAACACAAATGAGTTTCAAAATCAGGTTCAAGGTTAGGTTCTCCGTGAGAAAATGGAACCTAACCTTTCACTGAAAATTAAACTTTTTGTACTTAAAGAAATTAACTTTTTCAAAAAACAATTTTACTATTTTACATACTACAAGCGTCCAATGGAATTTTGCCACCATGCAGCATATTAGCATATCTAGTTTAAAGAGCTCTTTCTATGAAGAAAGGTTTATATATATATATGTAAATACATCATTAAGTTATTGAGTCATTAACTTTTTAAATAAATTTTTTTTAATACCTTATGCCTTCTTCGTATTAAATCAGTTTTAATTGGCAATTCATCTAGTGAGAGAAGCCCAGCTGGCGACAGTACTTCGATTCGATTCTTCAAAGCATCAATATATGGAATGGCGTTCAATATATTGTTTTATATTTAGAATTAAAATTTTATTTAAATGAAAATGAATTTTTTAAAAAAATGCAATATTATTTTTTTGTACAAAAATTTTATTATGAAGTACATTAATTAATTTTTTTTTTTTTTTCCAGAAAAAAATGAACAAGGTAAATTTACATTGAATATATTACTGGTAGGACTTCCAGAAGATCACATGATCTTATCATGAAGCCCTTTACAGTCTATATAACGAATTAAAAGGTAGAAAATTTACAAATATTAAAAACTACATAAGCGTTAGAATATTCTTCAGATGTTAAGCAAGTTTTAACATAATATTTTATAATATGTATATATAACATTGTCAATATTGAACAATAATATAATATAAAGTATTCAGCATATATTGTTTAAATAATATTCATCACACAGTCGACAAAAATATCAAATAACTTGAAATACTAAAAATTAATAAATATATTTTGTGTTGAAAAGATTATTTCTTTTGTTTTCTTTTTAAAGGAGTAATAAGACCATTTAAAAGAAAAATCAAAGTTAGGTAAAACTATTTTATTCCAAAGAAATGGACCACGATAAGAAATACAAAACTGGTCACTTTTTGTTTTTGCAAAACGGCTCTTGAATATTTTTACTATCACGAAGTTCATATTTGTTTTTTGGTTAAATCAAAATTATAGAGATTTATAAATACACTTGGAGATAAATTTTTTTTACATTTAAACATAAAACATAAAATATTAAAAATATTTAGTTCGTATATATTTAAAGCTTTCATTTCTATAAGAAGTGGTGTTGAGCTTGAAAAACGATTTCCAAAATTAATTATGCGAGCTGCGTGTTTCTGATGCCGATAGAGAGATTTAAGTTTGGTTTTGTGAGCGCTTCCCCATATAATATTGGCATAGTTTATATGGCAATGAATAAATGAATAATATAGTTGAGTTAGTTGCTTTTTATTTAGTGTATATCGAGCTTTGTATAGAACTCCAATGTTTTTAGCAACTTTCATTGAAATACTATCAATTTGCTGACTCCAAGATTTTCATCTATTATAATTCCTTAAAATTTTGTAAATTTTTCTCTTTTTATGATTGTATTGTCAATGAAAAGGTCAGGTAAGATATTTTGGATTCTCTTTTTTTTAGAGGTTGGGTGAAAAAGGATAAATTTTTTTTTATCCGTATTCAAGGACAATTTATTTTTTTTAAACCAATATGATATTAATTCATTATTCATATTATTAAAAAGTATTTCTATGTTTTCGTGCGACTGTAATAAATTCGTATCATCTGCAAAATTTACGGTTGTTAGGGTAAAAGCTTTGTAAAGATCATTTATGTATAATAGAAATAATAGTGGTCCAAGTATGGACCCTTGGGGGACACCCCATGTTATATTTTTTATTATTTGCGATGAAGATTCTTTGTTATAAACAAATTGTTTGCGGTTACTTAGATAGCTTTTGAACCAATTTAGGGTTTATCTTTTATACCATAGCTCTCTAGCTTTTTTATTAAAATATGATGATTAACAGTATCAAAAGCTATTGACAAGTCAATGAATATGCCTAGTGTGAATTGAGAATTCTTAAATGAATCGGCAATACTGCGTGTTACTTGGAGAATAGCGTGTTCAGTAGAACTGTTTCTCTGAAAACCAAATTGATTTTTATAAAGGAGTTTATTGCCAATAAGATAAGTGTAAATTCTATTATACATTATTCTTTCTAATATTTTTGAAAAGACCGGTAGAACTGAGGTAGGACGATAGTTTGTTATGTTGGTATGGTCACCTGTTTTAAAGATTGGAGTTACTTTGGCTATTTTCAAACTATTTGGAAACGATCCTTGAGTAATAGATGCTTTGAAGACTTTGAAGAGAATATCTTTAATCTCATTAAAAGAATTAATCATACCTTTTCCTTACTGTTTACTAATATTTTAAGATAAATATAAACAACTTCGTCACTGAGGCATTCGTTTAAAGTATCTTGTAAGGAATAATGGTATACCTTGCAGCCACCTATATCTGGATATATACCCATAATGACTTTTACCGGGTTTATAATACGGAGACATTTTATTATTCCGTGACCTATTTATGAAATGCAATTTAAGCATAATTTCATCAAAATTTAAGCATAACCCTTTCATCTGCTAATATAATGACTATTGCATTTATAAAAGATTACTTGTTTTAAAATTCTCACCTATTTTTTCACCAGGTGAGATAATGTTTAAATTAACTATTTAAACAGGTTTACATAAAAATCGCCACTGAATAATACATACCTTCTTCATCTTCAACTATGCAGCTTTTTCTTATATTTACAGTCTCTAGAAACTTACTATGTCACTTCACTTTGTTTTAGCTCATACTTTTTCTAGCGCTCACTTTTATTTAAATCTTTTAATTTTCTAGACTGATTAAAACGAGCTGCTTGATTCACAAAAAGGTTATGGCAAATATTATAAATAAGGACAATTTCTGTGCAGATTTTTTTGTTATGTTTATTATGGCTACTCGTCGGTACTGAACTCGTTGAATAAAAATTAAAACAATCTTTATTATAACAATTGATATAGTCAACTTTATTACCTAAATCAATCATTTAAATTAAGCTACCACGCTCTTGACTTTTTTTCAAACTTTTTGAATTCTACGCTATAAATCTGTCATTATAAGAATGATTTTTATTTGTTAGTGAAATCTTCCTCGAGCAATCACGCACTTTAGCATTTATGTCATTAATAAAATAGGAAGACCTAACAAAAGCAGAATTTTCTTAGTGTGGAAGAATAAATAGAGTATAACTGCTCAATAGTATTTTTTTTTCAAAATTTTTATTTTTACAAACATGTGTTAACATTTGATGGAATATGTATATATATATATATATATATATATATATATATATATATATATATATATATATATATATATATATATATATGTGTGTATATATTATATATATATATATATATATATATATATATATATATATATATATATATATATATATATATATATATATTATATATATATATATATATATATATATATATATATATATATATATATATATAATATATATATATATATATATATATATATATATATATATATATATATATATATATATATATATGTATATATATATTATATATATATATATATATATATATATATATATATATATATATATATATATATATATATATATATATATATATATATGTATATATATATATATATATATATATATATATATATATATATATATATATATATATATTTGTATGGCACTGTGGGCATAGAACAACATTAATCGACATGTTTTCATATTAGAAAATTTTTTTCATTATAAATTACTTAACCCTAATCACAATCTTAACTTAATCACAATTCAAAAATTGTTTATGTACTTTGTCTTTTTCATCTTTTACGGTACATTATTCTTTATCATTTTAATTTAGTATGATATCGGATGATTCTTAATCCGAAATACATAATTTTATATTTATCGTAATAAATATAAATAAATTTTTAACTGCCACTTTTAAAAATTTGTATTATTTTACTAATTGTGAACTGGACTAAATATTATTAACTCACCCAGCCAGCTAACATGGAGTAGCTTCGTAAAGGATCAGTAATCGAATTATATTTCCATACCAAACCACCCAAAGAAACGTTAATATTTAAAAATAACTATTTAAAATTGTTACTTTATTAAAAAAAGAAAAAGCTTCTATTATTCAAAAATAAGTTTTAACTTCTTCATATTTAAAACCAGAAAGGTTTTAAATCTGAAGAAGTTAAAACCTTCCTGAGACACCACACCTCAGCCCCCATAGGTGGACGTAATGGAGAAAAATTTTAAATTAAGCATTAGAATAAAAAAAGACAAACCGTAATTATTTATTTTCCTTCTAAACATTTTTTACATTAAAACTAGTAAAATGTTTATGTTGTAAGATATAAAAACATTTAGAATAAAAACTTATAGTAATTAATTTCATTACGTTCATTTTAAATCTTATGAAAATTTAATTCTATCAAAATTTTATAAATGACTTTTTTGAACAATGTCGCATGTTTTAATTGTTAGCTTAATCGTATCTAAAGAAAATAAAATATTAAATTAAAACTTTAAAAAACTAAATAAAACTAAAGATTCTTCATCTTGTTAAAAGTTCTTTTACTAAATATATAGATTTATTATAAAGATCTCCTCATCAGACTTTGACCCAAGAAACAAAAAATAGCTGACACTATTTGAGATAAATATTTTACTTAAATTACACATCTAAATAAGCCTATGCAGGCTTTTAAAAAATTACAACCCCTTAAGTAACTCATAAATAATTCAAATGAGTTGTATTTGGTAACTAGAATATAACATCCATCACTTGTAATAAACAAACCTATGCAAGCTTTTAAAAAATTACATCCCCTTAAGTAACTCATAAATAATTCAAATGAGTTGTATTTGGTATCTAGAATATAACATCCATCACTTGTAATTTCTGTATAAATCACATAAAGAAACTGAAATTCTTTCCTAAAATATCACATCACCCTTATAAAGACTTCTAAAATACTAAATCCCCTTAAGCAATTCATACAATAAATCAAAGGAATAGTAATTGTCATTTAAAATATTAGATTCATCACATGTAAATTCTGTGTGTATCACAAAAAGAAACTAAATACTTAAAATATCACATCCCCCTATGTATACTTCTAAAATATTACATCCCCCTAAGAATTTCTTTACAATAATTCAAACAATTAGAATTTGGAATTTAAAATATCACATCCCCCCTATGTATACTTCTAAAACATTAAATCCCCCTAAGTATTTCTTTACAATATTTTAAACAGTTAAAGAACTTGGTGCCTAAAATATTACATCTCCCTGTGGAGACTGCACATGTTACAAAAAGAAACTGAATATCTTATTTAAAATATCACATCCCCTCTATGTTTACCTTTAAAATATTACATCCCCTAAGTAATTCATACCATATTTTAAAAGATTAGTTTAAAATATTGCATGAAACTGAAATTCTCACTTAAAAGATCACATCCCCCTAGGTTTAATCCTAAAATATTACATCCCCTAAACAATTCATACAATATTTTAGGCAATTAGTATTAAGTACTTAAAATATTACATCCCCTCAAAGTTTACCTTTAAAATATTACATCCTCTTAAGTAATTCATAAAATATTTCAACCGATTAGTGTTTGGTATCTAGAATATCACATCCCCTCGGTTTATTCATTGTATGTCACAAAAAAGAAACTGGAATTCTTACTTAAAATATCACATCCCCTCTTTGCATACTTCTAAAATATTACATCCCCCTAAGCAATTTATAAAGTATTTTAAACGATTAGTATTTGGTATCTAGAATATCACATCCCCTCGGTTTATTCACTGTATATGTCACAAAAAGAAACTGGAATTCTTAATTAAAATATCACATCCCCCCTATGCATACTTCTAAAATATTACATCTCCCCAAGTAATTCATATAATACTTCAATCGATTAGTATTTGGTATCTAGAATATCACATCCCCTCGGTTTATTCACTGTATATATCACAAAAAGAAACTGGAATTCTTACTTAAAATATCACATCCCCCTTATGCAGGCTTCTGAAATTATTACAAACGATTGGTATTTTTATTAACTAAAGTTTTATATCCCTTATGTGTAACATTTTTTTTAATATTGTCACGCAATACATTACGATCAAATATTTATAAATATGAATTTAAAATATATTACCATTTTATGCTAGTAGAAAAAATGTTTTTATGAATCTCGTTGCGTTTTTATTATGTTGTTTATAAATAATGTTTCGGACGTACTTGATACACTTCTAAGTGCAATGACTCGAAAGCGCATTCTCGTTTTCATTTTTTCTATAGGGATGTGATATTTTAGGCGAATGTAATATTTTATTACAAATCACATAACATTATTCGATTTGGACTTGCTCCAATATAAGAATGTTCATAATACAGGTTAAGTCCTTTATTATTTAAAGTAATATTTTTATGAATCATAAAAATCTTACTTTAAATAATTAAGGACTTAACCTGTATTATGATATAATGATACGCTTTCATTTTACATAAAACACAATCTCTGCTTCTCTTCCGTTGTACGACTATATTCAAGACTGGAATATTTGGGTTAGTAAATGTCAGTCCTGATATTTTTTGGTGTAGTGACCGAAAGTTATGGTACCCATCAATAGAATTTTTAATTTTCTCCATATTTGTTGCTACTTGTGCTTTAGAGGCAGTTATAACACCTTTTCAATAGTGATACTAATTTTTATTTTCATTTTGACGTCCTGTTAATACTTCGATTCAACTTATATTCTCAGCTGACATGCTTACTTTTAAAATCATAAAAAATTTAGCGCAAGATGAAGAGGTAGAAATTATATTGTTAATGCTTGGTTAATCAATTGGTGGCACATTAACTTTGGTCTAAACTTCACAAATAGATTTTGTTTTGAGCTTTGCAGCAGCAGTAAAGAAAGTGTTTGTTGGAACAATTTTATCAAAAGCAGGAGTTACATTATTGATACTAAATAAGCGTTGTTTAATAAAGGACTTCTTTTTATGCGTCGCTACCGATTTTCTTTTGTTTTTACCTCTTTTACCAAAATCTTTACGACTAAAGTCAAGGTCTTTGATTTTAGATGGTGCTAATTCTTTTTGAGATGGAGCCATTCATTTAAAGGGCTTGTACATGCAGGGTTTGTTAGACAATTTATTACATCATCCTCCACTCTATATATTGCTGCAGCAAAATGATTACAAATTTGACCCATCCCAGCCATGCATGTACAATGACAGGCTTTTATTTTAACATTTTTTCTAATACCAACCACAGTTGATAATAAAAATCATCGATAGATTGTGATGTCCAACATTCTGATTTAAATATACAATAATTACTACCTGTTTAACTAAGATACTTAAGAGGTTTAAGCCAGGAAGTTTTATAGTAATTGTATGCTTGTGAGTTTTTTTTTTTTAATTAAATCTTTACTTCCGAGTTCTAA